TTGGAGCAACCTGGGCTGGTGGGAGGTGTCCCTGCCCATGCAGGGGGTTGGAAATAGATGATCCCTAACGTCCCTTCCAACCCAAGCCAGTCTGTGACTCCAGCCCAGTGCTGCCTCAGCTGCTGAGCACCACAGGTGTTACTGGGAAAGCCCCGAGGAGCCAGCAGGGAGATGTACCCCTTGGATTTGCTGCTGCGATGAAGCTCCTCCCTTGGTGCCCTGGCTGTTTCTGCCCATGGCTCCAGCCCCAGGCCCCTCTACCCCTCCTTCCCCAAGCCCTGGGTCGCCTGGTGCAGCCAGGGGCTGGTATCTGTGTCTTCTAAAGCTTCTGTCCATGCAGGGCCACCCTGAGCCATGTCCCGGGTCGCCCCACGGCGCCGCTGATCGAGGAGAAGCACGGCCCACCCACCTCCTCAGGTACCAGGGTCCCAGCTGCTCCGGGGTGTCTGGGGGGGGAACATTGCTGAGGGGGCAGGAGCCAGGGGAGCAGGGTGTCCCTGGGAGCACCCTGGCTGCTCCTCACAGCTCTGCCTTGGGTGCTGGGGACCCTTGATGCCCTGCGTGGCTTTGCCCGCTGCTGTGTCACCCTCCAGGATGGCAAGAGATCCCAGGGGCAGTGACAGGAGCAGGGAACAGTCCCTGCTCCAAGCCTGGGTCTGCTGGGACCACAGGGTGATCTGGGCTTCTTGTGGCCTAGAGGGGCAAGGTCTGGTGGGTGTGTGTCCCCCCACCCCATGTCTCCCTTCCCTGCTGGGGCAACCCCAGACCACCCAGCTGAGACACCATCAGCTGCCACCTCCCCTCCTGGCTGCTCATGCTCTTCCCTTTCAGATGGCATCGCTCCTGTGGTGGGACAGCCCCAGGGGGTTCCCATCCCCCCTCCCGATTTTGGGCCCCCCCCATACGAGCCCCCCTCTCAGCCGGGGTTCGTGCCCCCCCACATGCCCACCGATGGCTCCGGGCCCTACGTGCCACCTGGTGAGTACCAGGAGGGGCTGGGGTGGGGCAGGGGCTGCTGGCCAAGGACACCCCCAGAAACTCGTGTCTCCTGGTGCCCTGGGCACTGGGTTGGGGTACCCAGTGGGAGGGCTGGGGGGGCTTGCAGTGAGACCCCTCAGGATGGGCTGGAGGGCACAGAACCTGCTGCAGGGTTGGTCCCACATCCCTGCCCAAAGTGGGGGCGGGCAGCAGGGCAGGGCCCCCCAGAATACAGAGACTTTGACTTCTGCACTTTTCTCATTCCAGGAGGTTATTACCCACCCCCAGGCCCTCACCCCTCCATGGGCTACTACCCTGCTCCAGGCCACTACCCCTCTCCTGGTGGCCACACGGCGACAGTGCTGGTGCCGTCGGGAACTGCCACCACAGTGACAGTGCTGCAGGGAGAGATCTTCCAGGGAGCCCCGGTGCAGACCGTGTGTCCCCACTGCCAACAAGCCATCACCACCAAGATCACCTACGAGATCGGGCTCATGAGCTTCCTCCTTGGCTTCTTCTGCTGCTTCGTGGGGTAGGTGCTGTGAGCCCAGCTGGGGCCCCCCTGCCACCTCAGCCCTGGGGGGAAGGTGGGCACTCAGCTCTGGTCCCAGTGGCCCCAGTGTAGGTGGTCTTGGCCAAGCTGTTGGGCAGGGTGGGGGTCTTGGCACTGAGGGGCTACTGGGGCAGCAGATGAGTTCCTAGAGTGACATGGCCTGGACCTCTGGGCTCCACCAGGGGAAGGGAAGGTGCCACCACTGAAGGGTGTTCAGGGCCCGTCCATCCCTGGGCCAAGGACCTGTGGCATGGCCAAGAGCCACTGTCTGTCCCCAAGGCCCAGGGCTGGCAGCAGCAGGGGCTGCAGGAGGGGAGGGGCACTTGTTCCTGCCCCAGGAGAGAGGTAGTTAGGGCTCCATCCTCTTGTGTGCCCTACCAGACTGTCCTTGCCCACCCCACCCCCATGAGGTGTGTGACTCCTCACTAACTCTGCTTCCCTTGGCAGGGGCCCCAGCAGCCCCTGAGGGGCAGGGGGGGGTCTTTTTGCTGCCCTGTGCAGCAATGGGGGGGAAGGGGAGACAGGGGTGTGGCTGCCCCATCCCTGGCAGTGTTAAGGGCAGGTTGGATGGGGCTTGGAGCAACCTGGGCTGGTGGGAGGTGTCCCTGCCCATGCAGGGGTTGGAAATAGTCTTGAAGGTCCCTCCCAACCCAAATCGGTCTGTGCTGCATCTGTGGGTGTCCTGGGGACAAAGGCTCCCCTGCTGCCCCGCCCCCAGGGCAGTGCCCCCCCCCACCACTGCCCAGCTCCCAACCCTCTGCCTCCTCCTGTGCCCCAGGTGTGATCTCTGCTGCTGCCTGATCCCCTGCCTGTTTGATGACTTCAAGGACGTGACCCACACGTGTCCCAACTGCAAGGCCTACATCTACACCTACAAGCGCATGTGCTAACAGCAGCAGCACCAGGAGCCTCCCCTGCTGCCCCCCTGCCTGTGCTGCACCCCTGGCTTCCCCCTCCGGGAGGGTCTCTCTATCCCAGCCCCCTCCCCCCTGGAGCTGCTCCCACCTTCCCCAGGCTCCGGTCCTCACTGGCAACGGTTGGGTTGGTAACACTGGTGTGGGCACAGGGGGGGGGGGGCCAGCCCCCCG